GTCAATAGGATTTTCAGATTTTTTCATAACTCAATTTGCTCTATCTAATAAGGGATCTCTCATTCAAATCTGTGTTAGGCATCTCGTGCACTTTTTTGCAAGAGGAAAGAAAATTGCTAATTGTTAAAAGGGGAAGAAACAGACCCCTTTTACGGTGAAGAAAGCTGAAATGGCCTGTTTCGTAATGATGACGTTCGTAATAATGTTCACGTTCTGTGTGATTGGTTCTATTGAAAAGGTTGAATTGATCTGCATTATAATAGAATTTAATCACTATCCATCGGCCAATGCTGTTACTAATCGCTGTTATCAATGAGGTTAAGAGCATTCAAGTATTAATGATGTCTGATAACATTTCCTCTCGGAAAGCATCTATGTGATGCTCTAAAGATTAGTATAAAAGTGGATCGGTCCAATTGAAATGTTATAAGTTGCAGCACCAATTCTAAACAGTAATTAAGTGATCTCTCAATTCTTTCAAAACTTTTTAAAAAAGTAAAAATGCAATTGATTAAAATTGTATCATCTGGTTTCTTGGTTCTGTTTCAGGACAAATGACTGTCAGATATAGCGATTGGGGTTAAACTTCAGGCAAATTTGGTACCAATGATCCGTTTGCTATTCCGATAAACCCACTGCACCTAGAGAGGAAACTGGTGTCTCATCACCCGAGAGATAAGCTGCTGAAATAACAGATTCATTTATAATTATATTGACACTTTATGAATTAACCAACTTCCCTGTTCGTTAAAATGTAATTTTATGAATCACAATATAAAAAATTACAAATAAACTTTGTTTAAATTACTGCAATGGTAAAATTTATTTCTATTCCAAGTCATTATGTGTGTTATTTTACATGTAACGATTTGAATTAGAATCGACTTGGTTTTGGCAATAGTCGAGTTTTGAGCTAAAATAAGGTAATTTGATTTTGGGTAAAAAAGGTGAAATTATTCACACTTTCGATTGTAATTCATGTTTTAATTTTAAATGTTTTTCATCATTTTCATTGCGTGTAATAATTTCATTAGTTTATTGTTGATATAAAACTGATTTCCATGTAACACATAAAGGAAGAAAAATGTTATTATAATTTAACCTTTTCATTCTACTGATGAATCAATAATTCTGACGGTGAAAAAGACTCATAAGGATATCGAATGTCAATATTTTTCAGTTTTATTTTAAAATTTTCACAATTAATTATTAACAATTGATCAACTTTAAAAATCAATTTTGGACTGAAAAATTATTGGTAAACTCGTTTCCATATGAAAAGCTGTAAATGTTTATTCTTGTAGTTTTACAAGTTGAAACTCAAATTCGAGTTTATTCGGTCGATTACCCGAGTTGATCAAGCTTAACGAATAAAACATTTCCCTCAAAAAAAGTCAAACCAACGAAATTGTTTCAAAATCCTTTTCTTTCCCTCTGAATCTCTTAAATCTTTTTCACAAACTTTCATTGTTAACAGATTAAATATGTAAAATGTTGAACCAAAAAAATCATGACTTGACTTGAACCCAAACTGGTACAAAAACACTTGAAATTTGCGTGAAAACAAACAGTAAATTAAAGGTTAAAATCATTGACAAGTTGAAATGATTTACACAATCAATTGATCGACTAATTTGCTTTCAATAAACGTGTTAAACCTCGTTGAGTAAAATGAAGCAAATCAATCTGCAAATCAAATCAACTCCTAAATGGTAAAACTTGTTATTACCAATCTAATGATCAACTTTTATCCAAACTCATTGCTTTCCCATGTAATATATTAATCTTGGTTGGACTAAAAGTTGTCCCAATTGGACAGGAGAAGAAGATGAAACAAGGGAAAACAAGAAGAAAAGTTAATTGTAATAATTAACAAGAAAATGAACACAACTTTTCCCAACTCGCCTCATATTGAACCTCTTTTCATGGTTCGTTGAAGGCAAGAACTAATATTATCCATTATAATTACGCTTTATTATTCTATTAGATTTCAACTTGCAGTTTTCACCCTTTTGTTACAGTTTTTTTCCTTCTTCTTGGTCAGTTGCTATTAAATGAACTAATAATATTTAATAAACATGGAGAAAATGATTTGAATAAAGTAAAAAAGTCAACCAACCATTGAAGCAAGTGGTAAAAGTTCAACACTTTTAATGGATAAATGATCAGAGTAGTTTCATTGATACTGATTAGGTGAATTACTCGAGAGACTGTTTAATATTCAAACGGTATTCACAGTAAATTGAGCTAAAATGGAAAACAAGAAAATTTTAAGAATTGATTAAAATTTGGCCCGAAATGGTTCATGTTTTTACTCAAATTTCTTTTGCTAATTAATATTCTCATGATTGCAATATTTGCTGTTAATGATGAGTAAATATTGGAAACTCAAAGGTTGTTACAAAGTGTTGACTGTTTAATGATCAAGATTAACATGGAAAACTTGAAAGGTGAATATAATGAAGCTCATTGATTGAGCTTAATGAAAGCAGATAACAGATTAAGAGATAAAGAGATGACGATAATGTCAGAGGATTGCTAATTCTGGGTAAACATTTGAACAGGGAGTGAAGATTGGAATGGCAACTCAGACAAAAGGAAACAAAAGATTGGGAAGCAAATAGTCAAGGGAATTGGTTGGAGTAGCTACAGGGAGGTAAAAACGGAATTAAATGAATATCGCAAGTGTAAACTGATAATGGGAATGAGATTCGACAAAAAAACCTGTTTTTCATGGGTTTAATGGTCAAGCTTCAATGATCCTCTCAATTGCAACTGTGAAAATCCCATGAAATTGTTAAATTCAGGAGAAGAACAAAAAAAAAGTTCCAGACTAATCAATGTTTACTTGTAAGTCATTAGCATTAAATGAGATTCTCTTTTTTTTCTTCCTCAAAATAAATTTATCATTCCCTGACTTGACAATTTTCACTCAATTTACATTTTCAATTTAATCATTTTTCCAAACACATTTCAAGTTATAAAAGTTGGTTAAACTGGGAGTGAAAAATCCCATTCTCTTAGCATTCTTTGATAATTAATTTGCACACTTTTTTCCCCTCTTTACTGGTCAACACTGGAAGGGAAAAGTTATTAAACTGGAAGAAAAAATTTTCCATTAGACAAGATAACTTCATCTCTTGAGATTCACCTTGGAAATTGAGCCTGGATTCAGCTTAAATTCAGATTAATTGGATAATTTCAATGGATCCTTTTGTTGAAACATTTCCTGTTTTGTTGAATATTTCATGATTTCCATTTGGAACTCATATTATCCTTTCTCTGTCCCATTCATTTGTAGACTCTATTATGGTCAGGTAGAATATTATTCAAATATTGAACAAGATTAAATGTGAATTTGAATGAGGATAACATGGGAATTGATGGAATAGCGTTCATTATTGATGAGACATGAGGAAATTGAATTAACATGGGTCAACAAAGTTGACAAGGTAAATGATAATAATTGTTATCATAATTAATGGCAATTCATTAACATTATTGTTGTTCCCTTACAATAAACCTTTTCCTTGTTGATCACATTAATAATGGTAAACCTTGCTTTTTGTTGTTGCACTGGTTGGCCAAACAAATAATACGATAATTTAACCTCAACTGGATCCATTATTATTAAAAGTGTAACCAACAGAAATGAAACTCTTCCCTGTCTCTCTCTGTCTTTCTCTGTGTATTTTGATAGTTCATTAAGTTTGTTAAATGTTGCTTTACAATAATTTACCTTGTTTTTGGGCTTCTTTTTTGCTTCTTTACTCTTCTTGTTCTCCTTCTGATGCTGCCTTTTAATCAAGATAAATTTAGTTGAAGTCAGGAAAATACGTTTACAAAAGCAAAATAGGATAACAAGGTTGAGATGGAAACGTTACAAAAAGTAACTCAGTAAATTAATAATTCATCCTGGTTTACCTTTATAAATGTATTTATGATTATTGTTGCACAATTAATATTATCATGATGATTAAATGTAAGTAGCTAATGTACAATTGTCTGTGCAAATATTGTCAAGACAAAATGAAACGAACCAAGTGAATAAGTTTAAGCTTTTACTGCTTTTTGCCTACTCTTTGTTTGTCATCTTTATTTGTATCGGATTCATTGCTTCAAGCTTTAGGTTGACTTATAGCAAAGTTTTTGTCCGTTTCATTCAAATTAACAAGTTAAACAAAAGCTTTCATTTGGCTTATTTTGCATTGTTGCAACTACAAGTTATTACAATTTAATTACAAGTCAAGATAATTACTAAACTTGATTTTATCCTGATAGACATTCGTTTTTTTACCATTTAATGTTTCGATTCGAGGTTCATCTGGTATCGATTTGTTTTCATGTCTTTGATTGAATCAAAATCATTTTTGTTTTAAAAGCTTGATTTTTCATGAAAATTTTAGCTCCATTGAGCTATTGTTGAGCGTGTTGCGTGTTTCATGGTCAATCCATCAACATCATCAATCGATTTCTGTTCATCGATTGGAAATAAATCGATGGGATCGAAATAATTGATTGCAATTGATTCGATTTTAATTGTTTTGTCTGATTACCATCTGATATCAGTTTAAAGTCATCTCATTGTTAAAGTGAAATCTTTAGTGTTTGGTTTGTAACGCTTGTTTGGATGACTTTTGATCTTAATAAAGACATTTAAAGTGAATCATGCAACGGCTAATTAAAATTTTACCCAATCTATTACATGTGCAATCACTATTGAGGTAGACTTGACTTTTATTGATCCTTTGAAAGGTGAGTTTAATTGAATTTATTTGAATATGAGTGAATCTTTGTGCGTTAAACATAAAATTCATGAATTTGAACCAGTTAAAGATTGCCTATTTTGATAAAGATTGCCTAATGTATTTTATTTCTGACTATTAGATAAGAATGAAACCCGAAAATCGAAGCTGACTATTGAATAAGCTTATTATTGAGACGCTGGAGCTTTACTTCAATGATAACCACTCCTGAGAGATAACTTTTTGTTGCCTTACCTGGGATTGAGGTTGGTGATGATGGCGATGTAAAGGACAAGGTTCGAAGTAAAAGTATAATCACTGTAATTCCGAGAAGGAGAAATATGATGATCAAGGAAAGGGCAAGGGTATATTTAATATCCCAATGAAGTATCCTTTTGTAAACTGAACTAGAGTTGACTTCAGTTGGATCAAACTCTTGGTACAAGGGATAGTTGAAAGTGGTGACTGTTCCTGAAGTGGATAAAGCTTTCTTGTGACCAGAATGGCTACTGGAATGGGCATGATAAGGGTCAAGGGTTGACTTGAAGAAACCAGCTTCACGATCAAGTTGATTGGGTGACAGTAAGGATGAGGTTGCCAGTCCAGTCGAAGGTCGATAAATGTAATTTGAACAGTTACCATTGAGCAATAAAGCTGTTGCTGCAACTGTTGAACCTGTTGTTGTTGTGGTTGTCGGTGTTGACCCGGAAACATTACCCTTGCCAATCTCATTGGTAGGGTTGAACTTTCCATTACAGACCATCGTAACTGGCCTTTCAATAATGTTGGGCTGATAGGTTGTCATTGAAGTCCCAATTGTGGGTGACAGTGAAGATGAAGGTGATGAGGTTAGTTTATTTAAATTGTGTGCCGATTGAATGTATTTATAAGAAGAGTGGTGATGAAAGGTTGAACCTTGGTTATGATGATTGTTGTACTGATGATTGCCATCAGACTGGTTATAAGGTACAAACAAGGGTGGACTAAGGGTTCCATCGATCGAGTATCCAGCATCAGTTTCCGAGGCTGGATAGGATAGAGTGGATGGTGGTCGCAGTGGATAACCCAATGGGGTCATCAATGGGTCACCAGGATAATTGGAATTAATGAGACGGTTAAACATTTCATTGGCTCCATTTGAATACTTGTCATTTGAAACTGGCGAATAATTGGTTTCACCTTGAATCATGTTTGAAGTGTTGTACTTGAAACGTTCTTCAGAAGATTCCATAATTTCCTCTATTGGCATGATAAATCAACTTTAACACCACACTAACAAAAACACACACACAAAAGACGATTTTTTTCGGGTTTTCTTTTCGTCTAAAATCAAACCCAATAAGTTTCCAATTTTTGCACAATTTTTATTTTCTAAACCCTTTTCCAATCTAAACCTAAATCTAACCCCAGGTTAATGTAATGTAAAACTGTTAAAAGTCAACAGATGATTGGACTCGAATTGATATATTGAATTGATGGTTGCAACCTTTTTCACTGTAAATAACATTGAACTTTGCCGGAGAAACATGAACAAGATAAACTGGAAAACAACTTGACTCGTCATAATTATAGTGGAAATTAATGATAGTGGAATGCAGATAAATCCTGGCTTTATTACAAGCATTATCCTGGAAACAGGGAAACAAAAAGTGTCGACAAATTGACAATATTTCATTTCATTTTCGTTTTCAAGTTTATCCTTTTGTTGAGCTTGAGCATGAAAATATCTTTTCCCATCCAAACGATGATTACGATATAAGTATAGCAATGATGTCCTGTTTTGTTTGTTTACTTGCTGCTTGACAAATTATACACACAAATATAAATCTACTTGGAAATATAAATAAGCAATCAGAACTTTTGTAGAGGAAAAACTTTTTTTCATCTTTTCTCTCTCTCTCTCACTCTTCTTGAATCAAAGAAAAATCGATAAACTCAAGAAATGATCTGAATAAAGCTACTTTAAGGTATCTTTGTGAGTCTACTTTTTCAGAAATGATATTTATATACATGAAATTGTGACTAAAAATGTTCAACTTAAAGATGGTTAAGATGATGGGAAATGATTTTTGCAAGGTAAATTGGATATCAACAGGCTTTCCTTGACTTCAAGTTTACTGTTGAATTTCAAATGATTGGATATTTTGTGGGTTAATTATTTAAAGTTGAAAGGATGAAATGATTAGAGTATAATGTTGAAGATTTTGAGGTAAATTTTGGATAATTGTTTACTGACTAACTGGATTTGATCAGGTAATATTTGCTAGACTTGGTTTAAACATGGTTTACTCTTGTTTCTTGATCAATGTTTTCAACGGAAAAACAAAGCTAATGTTTGGCTAAAGATTTTCATCTTTTTAACCTTTTTTTACAATTGAATTGACCTTTTGTTTGGCTTGGAAAAAATGGGTTTAAATGTTGATAAATTTGGGTTGCGTTGATCAACTCTAATGGTTTATGTTAATCCAACTTGTTGAAACACTTTACACAAGAAATGTTAATTTCCGTTTGGTTAACTTTAAATCCTCAATTTAACACTGTTGATTGATGATTGAAGAGTTGTTTAAATCAACTTGCTTTTGATGAGCACAATAATCTCGAGTTGAAGTGGTTAGTGAATTAAATTGGGCGAGAAGAAAAGGTGTTTTAATAATTTCCTTTGGTTTTCATTTTTTCACTTATTTTGTTTAATCTACAGTTTGACCAATTGTTGATTGCAACTAGTAAATACTTTTGGTTTGCTGATTGTTGCTCATTTGGTGTAGATTTTTAATGAAGTTATTCAATGGTGATGATTAAAAGAAGAAGAAAAATTAATTTGAAAATTAATTAATTTGATATGTTAACTTTGGAATGAGAATAAACAAGCAAAAACAAGAAACAGTGTTGAATATTTCACTGTGGTCTATCAGAATAGACTGCTTTTTACTCTCAAGTGATAAACTAACCTCCCAGTCACAATCAACTTTCCCTGAGAGTTGCGCATGTAAAAGGTATTCTTTGTTTAGTCTGCTCACTCACCATTATCATCATTATCATCTACATGCTCATCATCATCTTCATGACTATCTGTAATATACTTGCTCAATATTATATCATCTTTTTGGCTCCTTTTTTTCAATACTAATTTCCCTTTGCCTTTTTTGTCTCACATTTTTGCTTTTGCTTTTCCGGATCATCTTCATCTTTCCATTTCTTACCTAACTTATTCAGATCATCATTTGCAATAAAGATAACCTGATACTTGTGTATAACCAGAATAAGAGAAGAGAGAGAAAGAGAAGAAAAAAGTTTCCCAAAAGGTTATAATTCTTATTCTGTCATTTCTATACATTTTTTTACTTTCATTATTATCGCAACTGTTAGCTTCTTAATTTGTTTCTCACACTGTATTATATCATATATTATATTTCATCTTCATTTTAATCATAGTCTACATCTTGCTAGTCTTCATCTTCATCTTCATTTACTCATCATCAATGTTAGTCTGATCAAGCCGAGAAACATGAATCTGCCAACCTAAACAACTCACTCTCTTCCCATCAACTAACTGGTAATGAAGCCATTTTTCACGTAAAACAATTTTAATTTCAACCTTATTTTTTTACTTTTATTTTCATTATTGTTTTAATCATAATCAACACAAACATCTTCATGCTCTTTACCTTTCTGGTTTCATGCTTATTTAACATGGCTTTTGATACCTCAATCAATAATATGAATGTGTTTATCCATGGCTAACTTGACTTTCGTGTTAATCAAGTTTATTTTTCAGAGTAAATTTATTTTTTCTTCAACCTGTTTCAATTAGTTTATGAAAATAATGGTTTGAGGTAAGAAAATTAGTATTTTTTTTCCTCGCACAGAAAAAGTGGTTCAAATGATTAAACAATAGATTGCAAGGAGAAACAAGAAAATTACATTAATCTAAATTGGGTTTTTACTTTTTGGTGGTATCATTAATTTTATTGTAGAATTGATTGATTAATTTAATGGGTTAGCCAGAAACCATTAAGAGAACAGTTAATCAACAGATACCAACAATTGGTGTTAATTTTTGTATCTGCTCTATCAAGTTTACTCTTGTTAATTCAAGAGACTGAATTAAGTGTTTCAGATGTTCAAGAGTTGAAACGTTTTTTTCTGTAACTTTCAACTCATCAGAATTTTGGTAATGATGATTAGACTGGTTAATTAATTGTTTAACCAGCATGTTGGTTGATGCTTTACAAATGACATCCAAGTGAATTCAAGACCATTACGTTTTAATTTAAATGGACCATGCTTAAACCACCACATCATGAGATGCATTTAATTTGAAAAATTATGAACATTATTGACACAAACAAAAACTTGAATAAACAAGTCTTGATATTTACTTTATAATCCTTTTTTAGCAAAAAAATATCTTTTCATATAAATTGTTATTCAAAAGTAAACTGTAACTTGATACCAACAGAAGCCAATTCAGCAACCAGATATCGAAGAGCATATGGAAGACTTAACGCTTTAACATTAGTACTTGAATTGCAAGTTGAACAAAACCAGATTTGATTACGATGATTATTATATCCCAAATCAAATGGATCCTTATTGAGAGGAGATGTTGAAATTATTGAACCACATTTAGAGCAACCGAAACACTAGACAAAACGAAAAAAAAGAAAAATTAAAAAAATGGTAAAAGTTAAAGGTTAACAATGATAATAGATTACCTTTGTTTTATCAGACTGGGTAAAGAGACGATCATGAATTAAGAAAGAGGCTCCATGTGCTAGTAATGAATCTCTTTCCATTTCACCAAATCTGATACCACCACATCTTTTACGACCTTTAACAGGTTGATGAGTTAGAGAATCTATTGGACCAGTTGACCGAACCTGATACTTGTCACCAACCATGTGTCGAAGTCGAATGTAATAAATTACACCGATGAATATATCGGCTTTCAAAGGCCTTCCATCAACACCGCTGTACATCATTTCAGTTCCAAAATAATTGTAACCTGCTTTGTTTAACATATTTCCGTAATATTCACTGGCTCGATCATTCTCTGAAAATATGAACGGAGTTGCCTCATGAACTAGACCATGGCAAGAGGCAGATTTACCGGCCATACTTTCCAACATCATACCGATAGTCATACGAGATGGATAACCGTGAGGGTTAAAAATGACGTCAGGTGTTAGTCCTGTCCCGGTGAATGGCATGTTTTCACAAGACCAAAGGAAACTACAAACTCCTTTTTGTCCGTGTCTGTTTGCAAATTTGTCACCAACCGCTGGTCGTCGAGGAATATAAAAGGTCACTTGAATAGCTTGAAGAATGTCTTTCCCTGAATTGCTTCCTAAAATTTTAACATCAGCAATATATGCTGTTTCCATTGATTTGTATTTTTCCATTTTCACTTCACCGGTAGACAGGTCAATATAACTACAAATAGGATCGTCATACTCGACTTTGCTACCAATAATTGGTAGTCCATCGTCGTCAATTTTGTCTCGGAATCGTTCATCAGCTGGATTACGGCCAAACATGAAAAGAGTTTCAGATGAATTGCTTTTATCCATTGCTTTTAAATCAACTTTATGAGTTTTGTGAATAGCACCGAATTTGAATCCTCTCTCAACGGCATGTTTATTTAATATCAATGCATCTTCCATATCATAACCGGTGTACGAAATGACAGCTACAACTGCATTTGTCCCAATTGGATAGTCATCCATGTGATAAATATCATGAGACTTGGGGCGGACTAGAGGTGATTGTGGGTACAAGATGGAGTACATTTTATTATCACTTCGATATTTGAGGGTATGAGTTGCTGTTCCCATCGTTTGTTTACCCATTTGACAGGCATACATGTTACGAGGACTTTGGTTAAAATCTGGATAAGGTATGAATGAAGCTAAGATGCTCATGAATGATGTCTGCTTCACTTCTTTATGAGTGGTTTTCTCATGAATTTCACTATCCGTTATAGCAATATCCATGTAGCACTGTTCAAAAGTACCAATCAATTCAATTGCTTGGGTCTCTAAGTTGATGACGGGTCGTAACATTCGAGCCGGATTAGTAAAAATAAATATTCCTGGATATTGTGTTGCAGCCCCAGTCTTAGGTATAAAACCTATTTCAATCACAGAAGGGGTGCTTTGATCCTCAGATGTTTTTAAAACGCGTATTTTCTGAACAAAAGATTTTGCTTTGGCCTCATTGACATAACCAATCTCTTTACCATCCATAAGAACTGAATAATGTTGCGAATAATCTAGATTAGGTGGTCCGTCACGCAATTTGAGACCAAGTTTAACTAAAGTTACAATAAAACTATCGAGAGGAGGTTGATAGTTGGAAATGAAACATAGATCAGATAAATGATTAAGAAGACCACAAGGTGTACCATCAGGAGTGTGAACCGGGCACATGAATCCCCAAGCTTCAGGATATAATTTACGAGCTTCAGTGGTTCGTGTTTCAGTGAAAGCTGAACCTCTATGCACAGAACGAAAATGAGCAAGAAATCTCCAATAATTGATCTTTTCAGCAACAACCGCTAGACCATTACTTTGCATTAAGCCGATTCCTGTACGTGAAATTAAATTACCGGTAGTTAAAAGATATTCCAATGGTCTTGTGATTGAACTGTAAAATGAAGCTAAAACACGGCGAATATTGACTCCAGTTGCTTTAAATTCACGATTAGACACTGTTGCGATTTCAATATTTTTTTTGATTGCTTTACCAACAGAATCGAGAAAGTTATCAACTCTTTCGAGCAAAAGAGTAAAATAAATATGTCCACTGAGAAAAAGTTCATGGAACATAGGATTATCAGGATTTTCTTGAGCACATTCACCTTTAACAAATTTGTACAGTTTTCTTGTCATATAAATTAACAGGTTAAACTTATCAACATTGTCTACCAAATGGATAGCAATACATTCTCTGAAATAGATAAAAAAATAAATTACCAAACAAAGAAAAATCAGTTATGCAAATTGTTTTACCTTAAAACAAAATCTGTCACTTCTTCATCTGAATACCAATGAGGTAAGTTGACTTTAACACGAAACCTTTCTCCAATATATTGTTTAACATGTTGTTGATTAAGCAGATTCTCCTTCTGAACAAGCCTTAACATATTCACAATACAGCTACGATAATAAGTATCTTCGGTTCTACCTTTGATCATTTCTTCATAAATATATTGGTCAGTAACATCGCACAAAGCTTTTAAAACCATAACAATTGGTAGAAAAATGAGTTGTTTCTGATAGAAAAATCTCAATCGAGCTGTTCCATTATTCAGGTAATGAAGCACCATACTCTGCAAGAATAGGAAAAATAAAAAAACACATTAAAGTTTACCCGTCAATAAAATTTAACAAAGAAAACATACCGATCCTATTTGGTCTGATCTGACACATCTTATATGGATACCATATTCTGTAAAAAGTTGTCCACTATCTTTCCATCCTGATCGTTTAATAGCTAAAGGCTGTCAAAAATAAATAATCAATAAATCATGTCCAAACATCATATTTAGTCATCATCTTACGTAATTTCGTCTTTGGGCAATCAAAAATCGTACAAGCTTTTCATTTCCATTCACGACGAAATATCCACCAAAATCTTCAGAGTCCTCGTACCGTTGAACCATTTCTTTAGGTGATAGTCCAGACAAATTACATTTTTTTGACTGAAAAAGAGTGATCAAAAGATTAACATGAGACCTTCCTAAGTTGTTAAATATTTGAACAACTTACCTTTAACATGATTGGTATTTCACCAACAATATCAGTGATATCATCAATAGGTTTATCATTTAAAGTCACGGAAAATGAGAGTGATAATGGAGCTTTATAGCTGGTTCCTCTCATCCGACATTCGGCAGGATAAAGTGCTCGTGTTTTAGCAATAGCTTCCTTATTAATTAGAGGATTTCCAATTTCAAATCTCGTCACTTTTATTCTGAGCACTTGACCATTAGGAAGTTCAACTTCAGTCGGACGTAAATATTTTAAACCGTAAATTAAACCATGGTCAATCATAAAATCAAAAGAGTCAATATGAGCTTTTGAAATTTTTTGCATAACTTCATATTGTTCTTTACTTAATTTATGATAACTTTTTGACTGAATACGCTTCTGGTCAACATTGATATCAAGAGTAGCAAGTTTTTTTACTAAATCAACATCATCGGTTGATTTAATAGACATTTTTCACAATGAAAATTAATGGATTTAAATTATAAATTATATTAAGTTAACAATCATTCAAAAATAAACAACTAAACCACGAGGTTATCTAATGTTTTGATTCGTTTGAAGAGTGAATCCAAGACTAACCTAAAGATACCGGTGTTAGCTCCATCTTACAGTAAAAAGGAAAGTTAACTTTCATCGCGCAATTCAATTTGAAATCAAATAAGTTTTTCAACTTTGATTAATCATTGGAAATTATTTGAAATTAATTTGATAATTGTTTTCTTAAATGAAAATAAATTCAAGAAAAGACAAATTGGTATAAAATATGCTCTTGGCTTTAAAAACGCACGAATAACTCCGAAATTTCCAGTGAGTTCCATTTTTAGATGTTTCTTATTGTTAGTAAACACTAGTAAACATTTGGATTGAATTAATTTTGGCATAATCGTTTCAATAAATAAATAATTTAAGATTGGTCGAGATTTACATTTGAGTTTGATTATCACGATACTCAATAATCAAAGTGAGTATAAATTACAATTTGGGCTTTAAACTAAATACATTAACTATATATTAGTTTAATGATTTTAAAGATCTTTGATTACATTGTATGGACTGATGGTTAGTCTCTCACTATTTTTATCTTAATTTCTCATCATTTGGTCGGTCTTGATGAGAAATGAATATAATTTTGAATCATTATAGTATGAAGAGGTATTGTTGCAGTTTCGCAACATGATAATAATACGGTAAGTATACATTCTCAAGAATGTTATGAAGAGATGATGATTTTGGAACACAACAGATTCCAAAAGATCTCAGGAGATGAGATTTTATTTGCTATGAAAGAACCTTCCAGATCACTTAGATGATGTCATTGTTTCAAATCAACTCAAATAAGAGTTGGTTTGAGTTGAAGAAATCTTTGGTCACAATAGAAAATATTCAAATGACAAATCAATTGTACATAATATCACACATCATCTACAAGCTCATCAATTAAATTCAACATTATGACTTTAAACTCCGCGATCCTCCATAAGTTTAGTCTCATTTCCTTGAACTTCTTGAACACACAGTCCGATAATTCAGCGAACCAGCAACCATATCATGAGACAGTTAAGCAGCTTCCAGCTTTGAACTTTGACTGTTATTATTAATGTTCATCTGTCTCCATAAATTAAGTGGCTTTATTTTGATTTGTTGAGTTTGAGACAACAGGATACCAATTCAAGTTTAGCATCCGCAGTCATTTCGATGTCTGACATCAGATCATCTGTTTAGCTTCTCTCACCTTAGAATCCTCATAAATGAAGAAATTTTATTCCTAAGAAGACAAAATATAATTAGATTATAGTGATATATTATTACAGATAAAAAAAGAAATCAAGCAAAATATAGAAACATTGCAATCAAATTTACCTTCTTTATGCCGACACAAAACTCCGTAATAAGCTGTAATCAACTGAGTAACGATGTTAAATAAGTTGGCCATACAGCAAAATATTCAGAGTTAAGTTAGGTTTTGTTGCTTATTGGCTTCTAAATATCAACAGTTTGTATTTGTGAAGAAAGGAATAAATTTCTTTCAATTGATTTAAAGAAGTAAAGACTGTGTTTTTGTGTTTTTAAATGGTTTTGGCGTCAAAGTGATTTGATAAATTAACAATGCATTAAGATTGGAATTACCTGGCAACTGTTCTTTTTAAAGTGCCAACCTGAAAAACGGCAGGTATTTGCACTTTCCTCCTAGAGTTAGATTCGTTTTCTTTGGCAGGTTCTCTATTATTCTCACTGTCACTTGAGGTGTTTGAAGGTGGGATTGGATCAATTGAAAAGGTGGATGTTTTGTTGGTGGGCTTTGGAGCTATTGGTGGTACTTTAGGTTTTCTATTTAATTTAGCAATTCGAGCGGGCAAAATATCCTGATTCCTTGCTGTTATATTAACTTGAGACAAATCATAAGAAGGTGTTTCTTTGGATATTGATTCCATCACTTTAACCATAGTTTCTCTAGCTCCTTTAAGAATCTTTTCATCTTCCAAGGCGGGCGGCCTCACAGCTGACCCAGGAACTGGTAGATCAGGTAATTGAGTTGAATCTCGGAAAGAACTGGTTCGTTTTGGTGGCACAGGAGCTTGTTTCAGTTTTCTAACAGGATGTCGTGAGCTGGGTAGAAGAACACTACCCTCTAAAGCTGGTCTTGTGGAGGGTGGTTTTTTAGATAGAGTACCATTGGTATCAGTATTTCCTCTTCTTAATTGGACTATAGTTGACTTAGTAGTAATTATAGCTTCATTTGAGCCAATGTTGACATTCATTGCATGCCATTTTGTTTGAGATCCAGGGCCTTCGATGAGTGAGTGTAAATTGGGTATGCTACCGGAGAGCTTTTGATTTGCTTTGGCGATATTTTGTATTTTACAATTATTGGCTAAAATTGGTTGAAAATGTTGTAATTGGGAACTAGTTGGGGGTGACTCTCGTGCAGCTTGTAACATACTTTCTAATGATTCTCTAATTTCTTGGAAAGATGGTCTATCATCAGCCTCCCACTGCCAACACTGTCTCATAGTTTCAAAGATTTCTGCTGGACAACCAGTTGGACACTCCATCCTGTAACCAGATTCCAACATGTGGTAAACATTGGCGAGCTCAACTCCTGGATAAGGAGGGATACCATAAGTAAATATTTCCCAAAGAAGAATACCGAAAGCCCAAACATCTGATTTTGTTGAAAATTTATTGTAAGCGAGGCCTTCTGGTGCTGTCCATTTAATTGGAAATTTGGCTCCAGCATGGGCAGTATAAGTATCATCTCGCATTAAACGAGCAAGGCCAAAATCAGCAACTTTGACTAAGTGATTCTCACCAACGAGGCAATTACGAGCAGCAAGATCTCGATGGATAAAACTACGAGACTCTAAATATTCCATAGCAGTTGCTATCTGTGTTGCCATGAAAATGACGACAACCGAGTTTACCTCTTCTCTATTACAATTGCGTAAGTAATCGAGTAAATTACCTCGTGTCATGAATTCGGTGATTATATAAAAGGGCGGTTCTCTTGTGCAAACACCTAATAATTGAACTAAATTGGGATGTTTCATTTCTTTCATAATAGCGGCTTCTTCTAAAAAATCTTCTAAAGCCATTGTATCTTCTTTCAATGTTTTCACTGCAACTGTCATGTTGTATCTTTTCCAGGAAGCTTCATAAACATCACCATATTGTCCTCCTCCTAATTTATGTTTCATCACGATATCAGTTCTATCAATTTCCCACTCGTCAGACTTAGGGGATGAAGAAGATGAAAAGTCTCCACGTTTAGGTGCTGGATATAGTAACATGGTAATTAATCCATCAGCATGCATACTATGATGATGCACAAGTTCTGCAAGCGTATTGAATCGACACTTAGCAGTCACATAAACTTTACCCTCAGTGTCCTCGTTAATTCGATAGTGATACACACGACCTTCATATCTTAACGATATTGATCTTTGACCAGGCGAACTTTCACTTTCACGAACTAAAAAAGAGCCGTTGATACCAGATGAGAGTAGATATTCAGCTGCCGATCTAACAATCTGCCCATGGTACCAAGGATGCTTTTCAAGCCGGTTAACAGGAGTAATATAATTAGCAGGCACCCAACCGATTTTACCAGAACGAGATTGAGCTTCACACCACTCTCCAGTCCGGTTGTAGGAGAGAACACGAATTTGTTCACCTTTTAATACAGATAATTGGTACTCTCCTCCAGACTGAAACTCATAAAGAGCCACGAAAAGCTGAGGATCCTCTTCTTCTTCGACCGGAATTTGATTCAAACTTTCTTTAGACAATCTTTGATGGTAGGAATGAAAAGAAATTGAAGAACTACCCATGGTGGAAAAGTCGTCCTGTGATGATGAGATGGATGGATTATCTTCTCCAGTACCGGGAATATCAGGAAGTGGTCTATTCTGGATTGCACCTTCTGTTCAAACCATTGAGCAAGAAAACAGATAAGAGCATAAATTGAGATTAAATGTAATGGAATGAGGAATCAAGGATAGGATAGCAAAACAAGACAAGAACAAGACTAACAGATTATGATTAATTTTGAAAATGAATGGTGACGTGGGAGACAAATTCATAATTAAGAAACAGCAAAAAAATCTGAATAGGTACCCAAATTTTGTATCTACACGCAGAAACAATCAGCAATATACACACCCTAAAATAAGTTGTTAAGCAAATCACGCAAAAAAGTAAACATTGAGTATTATAACAATAAATGGATGGTTTAGATTACTAAATAAAAAAGGGTAAACAAAAGGAGATTATTAAGAGAAGACAGAAGAAAAAGAGCTTGAAAAAACTTTCGTTAGACTGAATGAAAGTTCAAAGACATCTGAAAATGAAAACAATACATAACCCTTCAAACAAACCGAGAATTGACAGCCGTTGCCATCTGGCGAGTATAACGAAAAAAGATACATTTTTGTTAATTAATTTTCTTCATCATTAATTTCTTTAATGTAATTAACTATAAAACGGTGATGATGGTTTTTGATGACGATAAAATAAACATAAAATATTTTGCATAATATTTGACTTTAATTAATGGGAAGCTGGATTTTTTTGCTCATTTTACTCAATCTTTTTTTACATGCTAATTACTTTTGTCAAAATCAACAATTTAAAACCATAAATTGAACGGTTAGATACGGAACCAATTTTACCATGATGTGATAACTTGCCATGGAGCCACTGATGAGCAAAATTAAAAGCTAATTGACTAAAAATAAAGTGAGAAGAATCAGCATGCTTAAGTAATCACATAATCATCATCAAGTGACATTGTTTTGACCATGATGAAAGGTCCTATCTACAGTTCGGAGTAAATATTTTCTGAATGAAATGTAAGGTTGATTGGGCTGCTTTTGTCTTTCCAACAATAGCTGGAATAATTTGGAGCGATTTTTAATCTTGATGAAATCGATTATAATAGCTGTCAGTGAAATTATAAGCACAATCAGTATCACGGCAGCAGCACAAAGTATTGCAAATACTATGGCAAACAAACGATCAAGACTAAATGGGAGTCTATCAAGTGCCTTGAGTAAAACGGAATCCTCAACAAAGTATTTCAGTTGATCTGGACAAATTGAAGTATCCCAAATGTATTTTTCAGAGCAACCGCCATTTAGATTTTTGAGGATACAAAAGTAACCAATGAAGCCATCCTCAAAGAAAACTAACCATTCAGTAGGTGAATAGTCAACAATGGCTTTAATCGTATAGAGATCAATTCCGAAATAGCCTTCACTAAAGGTGCCTGAGGGAAAATAGTCAGGATTTAAAGGATCACGAAAGTGAAACCAATCAAAGATATTTCGCTCTCCAAGAACAACTCGAGGGGAAGCTAATGAGAAAAATCCGTAGATTGACTCGTTGTACATGGGAATAATATATCTGGCATGAATAGGATCAATAACCCATCGTTTGGTTGAATTTGAAGCTACAAATTTTTTGCCCTTATATTGATACCAATTGTCCTCCTTGAAGAAGAAAGTACTTCCAAAGAGATTATTGCTTTTATCAGTGACAGTGAAACTGGCATGAATGCCTCTAGGAAGATTGGTCCAGTCTTTGATTGGTTTAGCAGGCAAAAGTGGAATGGATTTATCAAGTGAAAATTCAAAATAGTAATCCCCTTTGAAAATATATATTTGTCCATCGTTGGTTTTAACTGCTGTGTCTACAATACCATCATCACACAAATCTAAAACGGGTGAAATTTCTTGCGACCAGATAATATGGCTATAAACAATAATTGTCAAAATAACTCTTTTCACCCAGAATCCTGATATCATCGAAAAAAGATTGAGACTATATCTATCAATGCAGGATAATTTACCATTTGCCTCCAATAATTACATATCTTGTAACAGCATGTATTTTCCTTCATTTTTTACTGGGTCAACTATAATTTAACAAAATGGCAGTGGAATTTTATAATAAATTTGTAAGCAGAAAAACCAAAACTAAAAACAGATTTTACATGAAATTTCGGAGATTGAAGGGTAAACTATAAATCGCTACATTGTATCTCAAAATGTAATGTGTTTCTTATCCAACAGTTTGGCATCTAACAAAAATTGGCTATAATTCTTGAAAATTAATCAGTTTAAGGAATGTGAAGATGCCATTTAATGCATTTTGATAATAAGGATTGACAAACAGATTGAAATTTACCTGAAGACTTGTTGATTTTTAACTTTGGCATCGTGAATTGTTGTCCGAAGGAAATCCTCCTTTTGCTTTATTAAATACAAATGATTGTCATTACAATGTTGTCAAGCTCATGGTTAGTGAATAAAACTCTCGTGTTTCCTAAAATAAATAAAAGAAATAACAGATTAGTTAGAAGACTTGTTGACCCTTTGCCTGCGGAAAAATAACAGTTGAAGACAAAATTTAAGATAAAACCGTTAAGAAGTGAAGGGACAACCGAAAGTAGAAACTATAGTCTAGTAAAATTGTTTTTGGGCTTTCTATTTACAGTTTTTCATATGCAAAGCTTGTACATCTGGTGTTGACTTTTTACAGCCTTTATATAGCAATTAACTGTGATAATCTTTTCATTTATCAATATTTGGAGCTACAATTTTAGCTCTAAAGTTAACATACGATAATGATTAAGCCCAAACGACATGATTTTGCATGGAATTGATCAATCAAGGAAACATCAAGGTTTTACTTGTCACTATTGAATGGGTCAAGATCTGACAAGTTAGGTCAAGTCATCTTATTTCAATGATAAAACTCTAATCTGATTATTATATTGATAAAATTTATTTCCATCTGCATTAAGGATTGACATTAAGAAGCAATAACAAGCATCAACTGTCCTGACCAGATTCAATTGGTAGCAACATATTTGTCTAGCACTGGGTGGAAGCAACACTGAGCAAACTATAAGAGTATATCATTGATTAATTAGAAAAATTTATCAAAAGGGGGCAAATTTAAAGCCAAAACAGGATGATTGGAAAGGAAGAGAATAAGAGGAAATAAAATATGGGAGGATGAAGACAATAAAAGACAGGCAGACGAGAAAGAGGAAAATACAAAATCCTACCTTTTTAGGGCTAACGCGTTTCAACCTATTTTGGATACCGTTGGGTGATCAATTACTATCAATTGATGACCATTTGAAGTTTAAACCAGAACAAAACTTAGCACTAGATCAATGTGAAAACTTGAAAATGATTAACAAAATAATAGAAGTAACAGTTATAATAATAGTTGGATAAAATATCTTACAACAATGTTGTTATGTTTTGTGTTTATCACAAAAATAGGGAGAAAGAGGATGAAAAATAAGAAAAAAATTTGATTGAGTCGAGGAGTTTGCGTTGCTTACAATTTAGCCCAAGCCCTAAGATTACTTGCGGTAATTTTGAATTGATTTTCAGCGATTACATGGAAACAAATAAATTTAGAATGGCTATTAATTTGGAAATCATATGTTAGATATTTCAATTGGATAGCGGATTCTTAAATCTCTAATATGTTCTAATGTTCACTAAAAGTAATATTTATTATACTATTCAGATTACTTCTTGTAATTCCAAGTTTTTGACCAATCAAAAAATTGATACGTTTCGTTAAATCTATTGTACTAAATCAATCAACTGATTAAAACTAAATCCAAAACCTGTCAGAGACACTTGAAGGGAATTTGATTTAATGAAGACATATTGTTATTGGTTCTTTAGTATACATTATCCTTTACTCAATATGATCATATTAGAGTTGCTTATGCATCGAAGTGTCCATTAGATATTGTCCGGTAAATTTGTATTTGCAGTTTCACCGAAATGGAAGGAATCAAACTAGGAAAAGATCCGTTATTCACATTGATTGAAATAACTCATGAATTGAAAACTCGTTTTTCAAAGATTTCATTTTTCATTAGAATCTTGGGTGTTTTTGCTGCAGTCTCTCTAATGACATCTTTGATATCAACAGTCTTCTATGAAAACAAACAGCATCTCCAATACATGGGACTGATAAGTTTATTTCACATTTTTAATTTATTATTAACCGAGTTTAATCAAAAATGGAAACATCGTTACATATTTTTGACAGTCATCATAATCCACTGCCTTTGGCTCGGATCAACTTGCCTTTTCCTCATTACATACATTTTTATCCGTAAGTAGTTACAAAGATTAGATTAGATGATGACTTTAAAATCGTGTCCGTTAAAATTGTAAAGAGACCAGAAATAGATGGTCAAACATTATTTACAATCTGCAACACTTCTCTAGGTCAATTGAGATTTGCAGACAGATAAATAAAACCGAAACGACTCTAACCATTAAGAATTTACCATCTTACTTGATTGTCTTTTGTCATTCAATACTCATGTCCTTTTTCATATCAATCTCTCCTTTTCTTTAGTTGAACCAAAAGAGAATTCATCTAAACGCGATTTCAACAAGGAGATTCATTTTCATGTTGTTCTCTTTCTTTACTTTGCGACATCCCTTGTATTATTTTATCATGTCAATGATTTTTGTGAATACTTAATCAGGAATCCATTGGTAGCCTCGAAAGAGGAGACAATAATACAAAAATCTTCAACATCCTCTATAAAATCAACTGGCTCATCTCCACCGTTACCACCACCGTTACCTTTGGTTCATCCACCGAGTTACAAGTCACTTGAAATACCAAATTTGGGGAAAAAGGAATTGCAAATTAAGCCGATAAATGAACTTCAGTTGCAGCTCAAACCGATTAAAAAGGTTCAAACAAATGTTCAACCAAAAGCTCAAGCAAAAGCTCAAACAAAGGTTCAACCAAAGGTCCAACCCACATTAAGTCCAACAAAAATGCCAATAAAACTCAATAAAGTAGCAAAAAAATGAACATTTGATTATCATTCGTACGTTTAACATATTACAATTTTAAGAGGGAATGAGTGTGTGTACATTAATATAAGACCAATAATGCAGAAAAGTTGACCACAAAGTTGACATCGACAAATTTGGCTTGAAAGAGACAAAAACAGCGAAATGGAAAAATAAATCAACGATTATTATAAATATTATGAACAAATAAGATGGTATTAAATGGACCAAATTTTTACCTCTTCTGGGTTTATAAAGGATAAAGAGTAGTCCATATAAGATGATATCATGTTTTTGGATCAAACTGGCGAATCTTTCCCAACAATGCCGCATTCAGATAATAGGTTTTGTATCTATAAAGAAAAGAAAAATATTTGTAAAGAGAATGTAAACACAAATAGTGATTGATAGAAATTGAAAATAAAATATTTACCGATCATTCCAATGAATTCTTGCAAGACATTCCAATAAGACTTTTTGATATTGTGTCTACAGAATTGAATAACTTTTCAAACAAGGTTGGACCGATCAAATGTTCACTGCTGTTGTCTATGTTGTCATCATTCAAAGGTGGTGAGGCTGCAGTTAAAAAGCAGCAAATTGGTTAGCAAGATTATTTAAATATAATTTCGCGAATCTTTCGCTGCTATTAATTTAAACTTGAATAAAGATTAAACTATGCTGCAAAATCGACCGCATATTTTGGATTAAGGGAAAGGAAGATGATTGCTGGTGATTTAAATTGTAGATTGAGAAAAGAGGTTCTGAGATGCTAAATGTTGTGTCGTAATAAAATTATTTTGAAGATGTGATTAATAATGCGCTGTAGCAAAGACACTTCATTCAAATGAAACTCGATTGTGAATAACATTAATCATCCAAAAAGAACGACAAATTGTTTTCTCTAAAGAGTATTTCAATTTTGTTTAACCGGCGCGATAAGATCATCTACATTATTATTTTGACTCATATTTCGATCATATTTATTAACAAGAGACTGTTTCAACGTTTTGATTCAAATCACTTTGATCATCATAACCAGTGGCATCAGAATTGCTAAGGTCTGGGGGTGGGACAATGGGAAGGGCATTTTTAGGTCTTCGCTGGGGTAACTGTCTAGGACTAACTTGTTGAGTCATTGTATCATAATAAGTAACACCACCACGGTATAATTCAGACGCAGAAGGTGGTGGAGGTGGGGCAATAGAAAACTGTGCCGCCGCAGGAGGAGGCGGTGGATATTGAGGGTAGCCAGGTGGATAAGTTGGCAGATAGGTAGCTGCTGGAGGACCAGAGATCACAGGAGGCAATGTACCAGCTCCAGCGGTTGCTGGGTTAGCAGCGGCAGCGGCAGCCACAGCCTGAGCCATGAAGCGTGGTTCAGGTGGCGGTGGAGGAGGGGCTGGTGGAGGTGGAATAAAACGAGGTGCTATTTGAGAAAGAAAGCGAGTAGCGTTTGTTGCTCCTTCGATATTGGTTGTAGGTATGTAACCAAATGAAGATTGTGGAGATCGATTATCAATGTAGTAACTCGCTGAAGGCTGTTGATTGGCACCAGAAGTTGCCTCATAATATTGAACATTCGTAGTCTGTCTAGAGTGGCCCATTGTTATGTGTTGTGAAGTAGCTGGGTACTGATTCAAATTTGAATTAGGTTGGTTATCAATTGATTGTTGTGGGGGTTGAGATTGAGGTTGTTTATGTGCATGTTGTTGTTGTTGATGTTTTGCCGGGTGAGGTTCTGACTGCTGAAGTTGGTGTTGGTGTTGTTGTTGAGTTTGATGCTGCCTCAACGATGAGTAGCGCTTTGGTTTTGATAAATTAGAATCGTCCGCCAATCGGCTTTTATCTATGCTTAATTTACTCATTCCAACACTAATTTCACCTTGATTATCGCCAAAATGGCCATCGAAGTGTCGATCATCAATATAACTTCTACCTCTGGGTTCTTCAGATCCGCGACGATCTCGGTCTTCTAACCCATGATGATTGCTTCTGTAGTCTCTGAGTTCTCTTTCTTTGCCAATATTATATCGTCCTCGTCTGTGCTGATCAATGGTTCCACTGCCACTAGGATCTTCTTCATAGTCATCGGCTAAGTGACTAGTTTTTGTGATCGGTCGACCAATCTCTCCACTGTTTCTGACATCTCTTTCACCTTGCCTTGGTCTTCCTCTATTGTTACGGTGTAAAGCCAAATCTTTTTTAACATTTGTTGGTTCTTGGTGATGATTTTTGGTTAAATGACGTCGGTTAAAATATCGTGAGTTCTCGAAAGTCTGTGTTTTAACAATTTCGATTTTGTTACTGTCCGGAAGATTGAATAGTCTTTTACTATTTTCAAAGTTTTCCACAACTTTCATTGGTTCCGATTTAAATTCTTCGGAACCTTCTCCCTCACGGATTATATCTCTAGCATTAGAATGCTTTGGTCTTGATTTACTCCAGGCATTGGGTTGATTTGCGTCACCTGTTGTCACTTGTTGAATTGGTCGTATCTTTTCTCTGGTCTTTTGTGGAAGCTCAGGAAAATCGTTTTCACTGAAATCTTTTTGATTCCTTTTTAAGTCTTTATCAGTTTTTAAAACACTATCCCTAAGGTCTTTCGATGGTCCTGGGCTTCTGTTATGGTCATATCTTCTACGATCTCTATCTCTTTCACGTTCACGATTTCGTTCACGACCAAGTCCAATATCTTTGCCTTCTTTTCCTCTTGATTGATCACGATCTCGATCACGATCATTAGCTTTGAAGACTGATTTTGGTTCATTTCGCGAACGACCTCCGGACCCACTCCTTCTATTACTAGAAGGCCTTTTCTCCTCGCTTTCTTTCAAAGTAACTGGTCTTGGCTCTTTGTCTCTTTTAACATTGTCGTCGACTTTTGGTTTCACTTTACTTATAACATCTTTTGGGCTTGAGTAAGCCCCTTCATCTTTCCAGCTTCTAGTATATCGATTTGGACCTCGTCCATATCTACGGCGTCTTCTTGCTTTAGGGGGACCATCTTCATTCCTAATGTCATAACCATAGGTAGAGACAATTTCATCTCTAGGTTTTGGTTTTTGTTCATCATCGTCGAACATATCATGGCCCCACTTGCCATCGTCAGACCAAAGCTTTTTCGGTTTTCGAACTTCAACTACTGGTTCAGTTTTTTTCTCTACAGCCTCAGGCTTCTCGGGCTCCTCTTCTTCATCCACTTCCTCGTCAGTTCCTAGACGATCATCGTGTTCATAAAAGGCCCCTCTCTTAGGAATATATTGAGGATTGCGTCTGTCTTCATCGTCATCTAATTCTTTATCCGTTTGTTTGGAGATTTCATTGCTTTCCTGCAAAATATAAAAGTCAAATTAGATAATTCAAAATTTTAAAAATAATTATGGTTCTTACCTGACCATCCCCTTCTTCTCGTTCACCTTCGATAGATCCATCGTCTTCCTCGTCTTCTTCTTCATCGTTTTCTACTTCACCATCATCATCTTCGTCATCATCTTCTCCATCTTCTAATAAGTTATCTGTATTTTCATCACTTTCCTCAATGGTTACAGCAATTTTATCTACAGGTTCGGTTGAAACTTTGGATGTTTCAACACTGTGTAATTCATCTTTATCATTATCTTCACTTTCAATTTTGACGCTATCTATATCTTCACATTCTCCTTTTGGTTTTTCTTTTTCAGCTCTTGAATCTTTGTCTTTAGATACTTTTTCCTTGTGTTGATGTGAACCATGCTTCGGGCTTTCGTGGTTTTTCTTACCACCTTCATCATGTTCACCTAGAGCTTCAACATACTCTTCGTCTGACAGATCTTCATCATCAACCAAACTTTCACCGCCCGCTAATTCATCCTCGGTGAATTCTTTTTCCATTACTTTAGTATCACTCATAACAAATATTTGTTAATTGGAACCACAAAATTAATAAACAATAGTGAAAGTAATTCAATTATACTTTGTCAAACACATTTATTTGAGTGTATCAAGTAATACAAGCAAGCCATACAGATGACTGAACAGTTTTACAGACTAATAGACTGTCCTGCCCCCTGGTGTAGTGTTGGCCGATCGAGCAATTTAAGCTTGATCGATTTTTCCGATCTGAAAAATTCAGTAGATCGATCTATCGATTAAAATCGATAAAGTCGATTTCTCGATTTAGGATTGTTATTGAACATTGCAGGTAAAAGATTTTCAAATCTGGCGCCAATTTTCTGAAGCGTCTCAAACCCACTTTGAGTCCTTAAATCTATCATTGACTAACACATTGTTAGTTAAATTTAGCCTTAAATGATCCAAACTGGCGATCCTGAGTGAGTGATTTGTCAAATTAATAAAAAAAACAAATTTGGAACAAGTTTTTGCACCGAGAAAATATCCTGAACTAAATCGATCTCTTCATTTTCTTGATCGATCTGAAATAGAGTAGCCGATTCTCGATTTAAACCGATTTTCGATTGATCAAAACCCAACACTACCCTGGTGTCAAAGAGTATAACAAGAGAGAACACTTAATGTTAACCATTTTTATCAGTAAATTGTTAAAAAAGTCACCACAAGATGGCGCTGAAAGAAGAAATCATTTGTTTTTCAATGTAAAAGTCAGCGGACAGAGCGGACGACGCCATGCAGCGGTGATGTGCCTCAACTAAAATTTTACATTAAAGAACACTTGATTTCTTCCTTCAGCGCCATCTAGGGGTGACTTTTTCAACAATTTATTGAAAAAAGTGGTTTTTCATTAAGTGGTCTCTCTTGTTATACTCTTTGCCTGGTGTAGTCACATTGGCGTCTTAGGCCCTAATTTTATAAAAATTTCAGATTAATGTTATAACTTATACATAGAATTATTTGGTTATATATGATTCCATTATTTTGGTTGAAAGTTAATATTACAGCTCGCAATCAGGCAATTATTTCGATCAATCAGCGAGTCTAAGAGGGCAATTAAGGCAATTAAGGCAATTACTGGCCACAAACATAAGTTTTTTTCATCTAATGTTCATTGTGTGAAAATTCGTAAAATTTTTTTTAATTTTGTTTTTTTTCAAAAAACTTGAGCATAATGCATAGAGAAATGCCTAGACGCGCCATGAAAATGCCAATAACTTTTGTTAATCAAAAAACGGGCACCTACTATTTTTCACTTTTTATGTTCCTCTGATGTGCTATCCAAAAATATATATTTCATTAAAAAACTCGAGCGACAGTTCGTGCCGATCCCTTGTTAGACCAATATTTAATCTAATCTCAACACTTTTTTTAATTTTCAAAACAGAATTTTGTCTTCATTTTCCATTGCTTTCAATGGGTTTTCCTATTTTCATTTTAGGGTTCTTATCATTTTCATTTTTAATTTTGACTTTTTTTATCAGGTCTAATCAGTCTCTTTATCACTGTCTTAGATCAAACTGTGCATATTTAGTTAA